CTCTGATTATTCACTGCTAGTCTGTAGAGACACAATTGATTTCTTTATATCATGTAACTTTGCTGGATTTGTTTATTAGGACTCAGGTTTGGGGTGGACTTTAGGGTTTTTTACAAAGATCAGGTCATTTGTGAGCAGAGATTATTTTACTTTTTACTTCCTTCCCGGTTTGGGTACATTTTAACCCCTTCCCTTGCCTAACTTCTCTGACCAGGACTTCCAGTTTTATCTTGAATAAAAGTGGCAAACCAAGCCAAYCTTTTCTTGTTCTTGATTTTAGGAAGAATGTTTCAGTTTTTCAATCGAATATAATGTTAGCTTGGCTTTTCATATGTGGCTGTTCTTTATGTTGTAATTTCTTCCTGTTCCTACCTTATTTTGTGTTTTTATCATGAAAAAATGTTGCATTTTACAAATCCTTTTTCCTGCACCGAGATAAGCATGTGCTCTTTGGTCTTTCGTTCTGTTAGTGTCGTGCATTATACTGACTGACTCCCATGCTGAACCATCCTTGTATTTCAAGAATCAATCCCACTTGGTCATGCTCTAGTATCTGTTTATATGTTGTTGATTTTGTTTGCAGTATTTTTTGAGGATTTCTGCATCAATCCATCGTTTTCTTGTGGTGTCTTTGTCAGATCTTGATATTGGTCTGTCGTTTTCTTGTGGTGTCTTTGTCAGATCTTGGTATTGGGGTAATTCTGGTGTCATGAAATGAGTTTGGATTGATTCTTCCTTCACACTTGTCTGAAGGACTTTGAGAAGAATCAGTGTTCATTCTCTTTACATGTTTGGTCCTGGTCATGGACTTTCTTTATTGGGAGGTTTGGATTAATGATTCAATCTCCTTACTAGATATAAATCTGTTCACATGTTTTATTTCTTCATRGTTCAGAGTCGGCAGGTTGTTCAGAATGAATTTTATAGGGAGAATCTGCAAGATTTACTTATGGGTTGGAAAATGAGGGAAAGAGAGTAACAGGTGACGATCTTCTTTACATGATGATACAAGAACTGGGTAAAGATGGGGGTAGAAATAGGAAACTCAGGAGTTGGGCATTAGAAATTTTAGATTAGAAGATGCCCAGACAGAGATGTTTAGTGGATAGCTACAGACCCAGAGCCCAGAGGCACCCAAGCTGGAGTGGAGGGACAAGTGACAGAGCACACTCAGTGYGGGGAAGGTGTAGCAGCTGAGGCAGGCACAGTCTCCACAAGGATCTGAAATGTCCTCCTAGGAGCAGATTCTGGTGACAGGCTTTCAAATTTGGGTGTTATTCTCTATGAAGTAAAATTACAGGAAGGTTTTTTGCCCCCCTTTTGAATGGCAGAGTTGTTTGTTCGTAGCTATTTATTTCTAATTTCAAAAATAATATATTTCCACCATAAAAACACATAAAAATTAAGAATGAATAAAATAATAAGCATAATCCATAATTATAACCATCCACTTATAATTAGCACTAGTACTACGCCCTATTTCCTTCCAAGAATTTTTTCTTTTCAATTGCATTACTTTGCATATATTGAAAAACTAAAATTATAAAATTATACTATACAAAGTAATTCTATATCCTATTTTTTCACTTAATATTTTTCCACAAATATTTGGCTATATGATCAAAAATCTCTATAAAGATAATTTTAATAGCAATAATATATTGGATGAATGTAATCTGTTTGACATTCAATTGGATATGCAGGCGGTGTTCCCTCTCTATATAATAGATAAATATTGATATGATAAATATTCCTATGTACATATCTTTGCTCCAGTTCTCAAATGGAGAATTTGGGAGTGAAAAGACACAAACATTTTAAAGAATTTTAATATTATTGGAAAACTGTTTTTTGAAAGGATAAACCTGTTTATTAGACTCCTAGGGAATACGCCTGGTCATTCCCTGTACCCTTCTAATCATTGAGAAATATAGCTTCCAAAATATTTACTAATTTAATAGATGAAAAAGGATATGTCGTGGCTGGGGTTGTGGCTCAGTGGTAGAGCATTTGCCTAGTATGTGTGAGGTACTGGGGTCAATTCTCAGCACCACATACAAATAAATAAAATAACGGTCCATCAACAACTAAAAAAAGGGGGGGGGGACATGTCATTGAGATTTTCTTAACTCTCTTCATGAAATTGTGAGGCAGAAACCAGAATCTCACAAAAATTCCMTTCCATTAAATTCAAACCATGCCAATGAAGTGTTCAACTTTACTATCAAAATCAGGAACATGAGTTAACTCACAAACTATGAATACAGTTGTTTGTTTGTTTGTTTGTTCATTTTTTGGTACCAGGATTGAACCCAGAGGTGCATGAATACACATCTCCAAAATGACAGGCAAGTCCTCATTCCTGGTGGTGCAAGGGGGGATCCGAGCTACAGAGGGCAGCCCAAGCCACAGGGTATGCTGCAGTCCCTGAAGACTCATCCTAACTTAGCCTCTGCTCTAGGTGGAAGGAAACACTAACATGGGGAATTCCAGCAAGTTCCAGCCCTCCCTTCTCCCTTCCAGTGAGGAAGAGCTGAACTATAACCCCAAGCCACTCTTCGGTGGAAAAGACCCCTGGGAACAGACTTTTTCAGCCTTCAGCCTCATAAAGGAACTGCTTGGGCACAAGTGTTGGGAGCTCAACCACCACGAGTCCCCTTCCTTCTCACGGTGAGCGTTAGTCTCGATACCCGACAGCTGGGATCCAGTGCGTCTGTGTTTCCCCTGGGGAAGCCCCCTCAGTGGTCTGGGCTGGGCTGTTCTCTGTGGAAGGGAGTGCACAGAGACCCCTGAGCATGTGGAGGGGTGGCAGGTGCGCACACCCAGGCACCTTCAGGTCTTAGTTCAGGCTCAGGACTGGGGCCTTCTAAGTCTGATAAACCTGACTGACCTTGCTAATGTGCCCACAGAGGCGGGATTTTGCCTCTGGAGTGAACTTTCATTGGCTAAGCACAAAGAGAGTTGACCCACTAGAATTCCAGTTATTACTGGAATAATGACTTTTACAGACAAGTGTTTTTACAGGAAAAACCAAATGATCACCAGAGAGATGGGCAGGACTCGAGGCTTGGAGCAGTCATGGCGGTGGGACTTTTCCACCAAGGGTTGTGCCCAGTGCCTGGGCCACTGTCTGTCTGCAGCTTATTTCTTATCACTCCTCTGGCTCTGCTACTGTCCCCACTCAGAGAAGCCTCCACTGCTCCCACTACAGGTCTTCCCACCTCACCACAGCCTGGACCTCATTACACCCTGCACTTTCATTTAAACTCTTACCACAATTTTAATTAACTATTTGTAGGCTGTCTTTTTTGCTATTATTATTTTTTACTGTTTCCCAGGTCAGTGAGAGCGGGAGCCACGTCTGCTTTGTGCATGACGAGCCCTGTACACTGTGGACACTGGGCCTTATGGGAGGAAGACGAGGCAGAAGGGGAATGAAGAAGAACATGGCAACCGCTTGCCACCGTGGAGCAGCCTTGCCAATGGGACACGATCCTCTGTCCTCCTGATAGTGCCCCGAACGGGCTTGTTGCAGGAATCGGCCCTGCTGACTCGGTCCCTTGTCCCTCCCTGCCTGCTGACCACTTCCCCCACCCCTTCCTCAGACGGGATCTCCTCTGATGGCCAGTCTGATCACACAGGCCCACCCGCCTTTCTCTCTGCTGACGCGGCTTTGCATACCGCTAGTCTGACCTAGTCTGGAGCATTTGTAACTTAAATCTCAGAGGGCAGTCATACACCCAAGGGTGTGGGGGTCACCGCACTGTCAACCCCTGTAATCGCCATACTGTTGCCCGGGCGTAAGGACAGGGCACTCTGGGACGCCCAGCAGTCAAGGCAAATCAGAGCACTGTGTGCGCGTGGCTAAGGCCTGTTCATACTTCACAAAACCAGAAGCTACAGAATGACATTCTTAMCTGCCTTGGCTATTTTCTCAAAATATGATATTGATTTTGATAATTAAAAACAGATCACACCTGGCCTAGAAGGTTGGGGGGGAATTCTTGACTGCTCTGACCCAGGCTCTGACCCTGCAGGRCCACCTGTTCCAGTGCTGGCTTCTGTTGAACCAGGGGCTGGACCAGATCTTGATATTTCATGCATGATTATCCCACCCAAGAACCTCCCCCAACTTYATAAGCACCCCACAGACCAGTGTGGCTTCTGGAAACGACCACCACACACAGAGTTGGGGCAAAGCATCTCTACGGGGATTAGTCGTGGAGACAGCTCAGGACTGTGACGACTGCAGATGCCATTGGGGCGGGGTGGGGTGGGGAACAAGCCGACATTTGTCCTTGGACCTGTMGCAAGGAAGAGCAGATTCTCCACCACCAGAGCTACTGGACACGGGGGTTCATGCCTGGAGGACTGAGGGGCCCAGGGAAGCTAAGCTGGGTGCCTGGCACCATGGTACCCTCTTCTGGTGCTGTAACCAGACACAGGTGTTTGTGGAAACTRTCTCCCGTGTGTTCAACAGTCAATCACTATGAGCAAACGTACCCTGAGCTGAGACCTTCACAAGCCTGGCAGGAGGCACTTGCCTTCTCTGTTTTTGGTATTTGGAGTTCAGCTCCTTTCACCTGAGCGCCTCCACAGGCAGCAGTGCACAACTCCCTTACTCATGCTCTCCAATGGGCCATCAGCGACAGTCCAAACTCACTCATTATCATCTGTTTACAAACCAAAACCAGCCTCAGTTTTAATTAGTTGGTCTGCCACGTTCAAAGTCATGCTCACTTTAAACAGTCTACACACTCTGCTCAGGGAATGGGCGTCTCTGACGAGGCCCTTCCCATCTGAAGGGAAATTACCAAGAAGAATCAAGACGGCCCCCAGGGCTGCACACCGGGGACAGACTTGCTCTGCCTCAGCAGCCGTGCATAGATGGCGCACAAACGCGTGATTTCCACAGGGTTCCGGGTACCAGTCCAAACAGGAGACTTATAGAACAGAGGCCTGAGAGTTAACTGAGGTGGCCTGGGACGTCGMGCTCCTACCTCGAGTAGTAAGACTCCACCCCCAGGGCCTCGCGGACGCTGGCGATGTGCTGCTCCAGGGCGGAGCTGGCTGCCGTTGGGAGAGCTGCACTGCTGCTGGCCTGAAAGTCACTGGAGTTTTCCACGGTGCTGTCACCCAGGTAGTGCTCATGGAACTTCAGAATTCCTGAAACCAGACAGGCATAGCCAACGTCACAGGGGGTTGGGCTGGCTGGAGAGAGGGGCCAAGGGCAGGGCTGGGAGGGCCGAGGCTACGTGACTTCTTTGTAAAGCGCCCCAGAGGTCCTCCTGAGCCCAGGTCAGTGCCCTTTCCGCAGCTTTTGCCATCAAGGGTGGTGCCTGATGACAGGGAATCAAGATGCAGCCTTTGCTGCTGATGACACATTCAGAAGCTCCTGGGTAATTAGACTATTCCCTATGCGTTTCCAAACTCCTACTTTGCAGAATCACCAGCTAGGGAAGGCCTGCTCTCGGGGTCTGTGCATGAACGTGCCCAGGTAGGTTCTCTGTGGAGGCTGAAATCCTGAACAAACAGGTAATTAGCCAAGTGGAAATTGTGTCACAAAAACCTGTCATGTCACAAAAGCAAATAAAAATAAACATACAGTATAAAGGTCAAATAAAAACACCCTTTTAAAAATAAGACTAACTGGTCAGTGGTCGTTAATGGATTAAAGGTACAAAAAATGATGTCTTCATGAAACCAAAGCTGTCCATGCTGGTTCTCTGGCAATAAACATGGGGCAGATTCTCAAGTGGTAATGAGCTGTGTCAGCCCTGGAAAACGCCGGTCCTCTCTGATTGGATTAGAGCCCCCAGTGAAAGCTTCGGAGTGTCATTAAGAGCAAAGAGGAATGAAAAGGGAAACAATAGGGGCCTCATTACACACGGCTCATTATTACAGGGATCTGGATATGCCACCTGTCAAATCACGTCCCCAAGACGTAACMACCACAGAGAGAAAGAGCCTGATACCTGCCAGTTGTCAGCCTCCTCCGCAGGAGCACCAGTGCCTTCTGGGAGTGGGGACACTTGGGGATGCCACTGTGGCTGACACTCGTTCACCAGGTCACTCCGAAAATGGTAACTTAAAACTTTTAGCATAGAAAGGTCAGGGCAAGGGCGTTCTTTGTGGAAAGCCCGTAAGAACATGGACTTGGAGGGGAAAGATTGCAATAATAAAAGTGAGACGACTGAACGCGGAGGCTCGAGGGCGCGGGACCAAAGAGCAGCTGGGAGCTGTCATCCAGCACCATTTTTTTTCTTTTTTTAAATCAAAGGGAAAGAAACATATTCAAGAAAATCTTGTCAATTCTCACTGGCAGTTGAACTTTTTACAGACATTCAAGAAGCCCATTCTTCAAGATTCCCAATTATAAGATCCACTTCCCCAGTCAATAAACTCTAATTGGATCTGGTCTGTCTCCAACGCGGTAAAGCCATCAGCATTTTATTATGCAAAAAATATGGCCCTAACAGCCAATTAGTGGTTCTGTATTCAGCRAAACTGTTCCATCCTGAACGTTTAATGCCGATTTAATCAAAGGGGATTTTTACCCCTAAAATAGAGTTTTCAACAAAACTGGTAAAAAGGGGGTTTTGTTAAACCCAGAAATTTCAAGCTGGAGACTTATAAACTGAGGGTTGCCATTATCATTTTAGTCTAAATTTGCCGTGACAAAGGACCACAATTATCAAATCATATCTAGAAAGAACTCATTAGGAGTGGCCGTCTTCCTTATTAGTTAATGAGCAGCAGCTGCCTAAGAGTAGGGCGGCTACTGAAATGCCACCTCTTCCTCCTGCTCTTCCCTGACAAGTGCTTCCTGACTCACTGTGAGGGCCACGGTTTCTTGGTAGAGGGGGAAAGCTGAATGTCTTATTAACTGGATGTCCCACTGTGGAATATCCACGGTGTCCTGACAATGGAACCTGACAATGGCTCCTTCATCTAGTCTTTCCCCTTTCACGATTTTTCTTCTGGAGGCTGGTGTTTCTGTTGCCTGATGTTGTGGTTTAAGTGTGAGGTGTCCCCAAGGCTCATGTGTGATGCAATGCAAGAATGTTCACAGGTGAGATGCGTAGATGAGGAGAGCTATCGTCTAAGCAGTGGATTAATCCACTGATACGGATTGGTTGAGCTGGACTGTGAACAAGGAGGGTGTGGCTGGAGGAGGTGGGTCTCTGGGGTTTGTATTTTGTCCTTTGTCCCTGACAGGGGCGCTCTTTCTCTGCTTCCTTGTGGCCATGTCCTGGGCAGCTTTTATCCGCCAGGATGCCCTGCCTCACCTTGGGCCCAGAGCCATGGAGTCAGCCCACTSTGGACCTGACCCCTGAAACCCTGAGCACCAACCAGCCTTTCCTCCCCTKTGTTGYTCTGGTCAGGTCTTTTGGTCACAGGCATGACAAAGCTAAGACGCCTGGTCCCCAAGGGCAGCAGCCTCACCTGCCCCTGGAGCCAGCAGCCAGCTGTACAGGTAGCCGGCCGCCAGCGAGTAGTAGAGCACCAGTCCCCTCTGGCTGTTGACCATCTCCAGGATCTGGTCGATGGTGACTGGGGAGTAGGGGTCCGAGTCCTGCTGTCCTGTCTGTCGCTCCACCAGAAGATCAGCAAATGCCCTTGTCCGACCTCTTTCTGCTACCGCCAGGGCTTCATCGTGGTGGCCTAAGAGACAAAGGGACAGGCTGAGTGCTCCGTGGTGAGTGAGCCCCCTCAAGGACAACAGGCATCTGGGTTAGGCCGTAGGCAGAAACKCGCCTACCTCTGCTCCCCTAGAGTGACAGACTGCAGAGTCCGTTTCTGCCTCTGATCACCAGTGGGGGCAGGGTGCACACACAGAATCCTGTTCTGTGATTCAACAAGACCCATTTCACGTCACCGTAAGTCACTGGGCCTTCCTGTCTTGCAGCCACACAACAGTCCCCGCAGCTGGGAGCATGGCCCACTCTGCTCCTCATCCCGGGAGGCTCCCTGACCTCGCCCCCAGCACCCCCAGAGCTCACCAGCTTCCCTCCTCCTCCTGCATCCGATCTGCAGGACCCACCTCTGGCTCCTCTCTCCTAGATGTGGCCCCTTCGTGCATCACATCATCCAGCCCCCCCACCAAGTCCCCCAGTGACACCTCCATGCCTATACTGTGCCTGTCCTCTGCTGGGTGCCCTTTCCCTATTCACCGCGCTTGTCTCAAAAAGAGGGATTGCACTAGTTGTCCCACCTCTCTCAAAGGGCTACTTTCAAAATCAATCGAGGCTCTCTGTGTGAAGGTGTTCCTGAAGCACCACCTGTATGACAAGTGGCACCTGTATGACAAGTGGCACTGTTAATATTAAAGCTGACACTTTATTCCACGCTGGCTCCGGCACACTTCCCTCTCATCTTCTTTCTTCCAGTCCCCCTGGGCAAAGGGCTTCAACCTCTGAGGTCTCTATTGCTTTAAAATTGCTTCTTTCAAGCTTTCCTCCAGTCTTTCAACCCAACTTCTCATTCACTTCCTGCAGGAAGCTAGTCTATAATGTGGCTTCAAAGCTGATTCATGGATGTGAAGCCTCAAACAATGCTGAGCCCTCTGCCTTCCAGGGGGGCTGATTTGTAAGTGGGCAGTGCAATGCAGAGGATGGATCTCAGGGTAAATAAGAGCATGGAAGAGCTGCTAGAGCCAGGTCCATGGAGAKAGCATGCAGAGGCAGGGGACCAGGRCCATGGCTGCAGTGGCACATCAAGAATGCCTTGCTGCCCACCATTCAGGCATTGGCACAAAGTAGGCATTCACGGGAGTGTGTGCAAATGTATCTTTTACTCTATTAAGTTATCAATGGGAACAGCTGGGACAGCTCCTGTGCTCACTGGAAAATCAGTCCCGTGGTGCTGGACAGACTCAGCACTGTGACTCCAATAGACAGTAAATTATAATCCTGGGCAATGAGTATTTAACTTTTCAAGGGGAAACTTGAGTGTTCCTACACACAGGAAAGGGCAGGTTACTGAGAAGTCCCCAACATTCAACTTCAAAGACTGTTAGTTTCAGTGAATATCTTTTGGGAAGAGGCAGGCGACCGAGGAGTTGGAAGGGGACAGTTGAGGCTTGGATGAGAGGAATGCAGRCTGCCCCAGGGCCCCAGATCATGCAGGCCTGAGAGGACGAGCCCCAACCGTGAACGTCACAGCCCAGAGGACAGGCCAAGAGGGTACACTCCCTGAACAGCGTCGGGGAGGCTGTGTGCTGGGAAAACGGAAGACACCTGTGTCTTCTCAGGTGCTTCCCCTTGGTCAGAGGCTTGAGCCAGGTGAGGTGAAGAAGGGAAGGAACGTGAGGGTCAGGGACTCCTGGCCCAGGCATCTGTCTCAGGGACACCTGCTCAGGCTCCCAGGGCTGCTAAACTTCCCAGAACCGGGGCTTCTCCACTTTAGCACAAACAATGGGTCCTGAGCTATGGCTCGACAGCCTGGGAGCCTCTGAACTATTATCCCCAGGGCTGGCACTGGCATGCACACAGTAGGTGCTCTATCAGTCTTTGTCAAATAAAGGAAGAAGTGTTCAACTGCTGATTGTGCCTTCAGAGTCCGTTGTGACATCAAATCACACTGCATCAGAGCTGTGGTGGGCACCCTGGGGACAGCGAGCACACACCAACCACTCTCACCAAGGCTGACGAGCACCCGCTGCAAGGCCTGGTAGGACGACGTCTGTAGGTCGAAGAGCGAGAGTCTGCAGTCGGTGCTCAGCTGCGCCTCGTGCCGGATGGTCTCGAACAAGGCYGACGCCCTGTAGAGCTGCAGAGGGGAGAAGGTCGTCACCCACCTCCAGAGCCAGGCCAGCTCTTCCCAGAGTACAGATAGATGACTCTGCTAACACCTGGTACCACCCACRTGTTCTTAAAGGTTTGTAAAGAATCTATTTCCAGGGAGGCCATTGTGGGCTGAAGAAGTGTCACCCTGTCCCCAGTAAATCATAGCTTATGGAATCAACTTTGGTCAAGAGATCTAAACACAGGGTTATAGACATCAGGTCCAAAGGAAGTTAAGAAAAAACTATTAATCCAAACAAATGCTAATTTTTATTAAAACAAAAGTTCTCTTCTTGTCATCAGGCAACCATAATCCATTGTCCCCAGGAAAAGGGTGCGTAAGGACGGGAATGGGCCCATGTGGTGGAGGCACCCTGGAGATGGAGGAGGCCAAGGCAAGGGCAGAGGCGCCACACTCTCAGGACAGTGGCAGCCTCTGCAGGTGGTTCAGTGCCGCAGACTCAATCGCTCCCCACCCTCCCCAGGGTCAGGACCATGCTGGACAAGCTCCCCAAGGGGCCATGCCCACTGGCACAAACCCCTTGAGGACCGCCCTCGCCCACTCACATGAGCACTCTGAGGACCAGACAATTGGCATTCCTAATGGAGATCCTGTCCTGTTGTTTCTCCAAGCCTAAAGAAGCGCATTCTAACACTAAGAGCCCTACACCAGGACAGCGCTCAGCGAGGACTGTGCTACTGACTATTGTGTGACTTGGCGAGACTCAGGGTGACAGCTCCCTATCTGTGAAGGGAACAATCATCCTTTGACTTCATGGGTATTTTGAAGAAAAAATTCAGTGAGCAAAAGTACTTTGAAAATAGTAAATCACTCCATCAATATAAATTTTAACTTTTGCAGCCAGTAAATTAGAGTTAATTCTTTAAATTGCCTTTAATAGTTTAAAAGTATAATAAAAATGCCTTAACATTCCAGGAGATGATGGCACGTCCTCAGTGCTTTGAGCACCAGGGAGTAGCCTTGATTGACTTCTCCTCCTTCCCCTTGGCTAAGGGGTGAGAGGTGACCTGAGAAGCAGCCTTCTCTGTCCTGCTCCAACCTAACAGAGGAAGCCGTAACTCTAGGGATCTTTCTACTCTCCAGAGATGTGTGTCAAGGAACTGCTCTTCAACTGTCTGCACTYACACAGGGGCATGGACTCACCATGGGAGAGAGGTAATATCTTGCTATAACTGGAGACTTAGAAAGACATTAAATCCAATAATCGTGAATTCTTGTTTTGCTTCTATTAAAGTTTAATGTGGAGCAGCAGCACATAATATAAGAATTCCAAAGAAATGACTAGGTCACCTATCATGTGAGTGAGCAAGGGTCTTCCCTGTGTGAAGTGTCAACACCTCTGGGCTGGCACGGGCTGAGAACCCTGTGCATTGACTCAAGGCATGAGTTGGTATCTGGTGCACTCCACTTTGGCCATCCCTCCCACGCTTCTGGCTGTGAACTCCACTGGGGTCAGGGTTCTCCTGCTCACCTGGTGTTGGGCCTCCTCCAGGTTTCCACTAGCCCAAAGGGAGAGGCCTAGACCATGGCGAATTTTTGCCTCATCTTCTCTTCGGCCCAGTTGCTCAGCTAACCTTAAACCTGAAACCAGATAGAAAAATTTAAAGATTCAGAGAAGACAGATAGTTCCACCCCTCAACGAGTCCTGGCAGGTGACTTTGCTTCAGGGGTAAAGAACGCTAATAGCACAGTAGAGGGGGAATGAGACAAGAGCTCTCTTCAAATGCCACGTTGGTGGCACAGTTTCCGGGACACTCAGAGGAGGCCCAGCAAGAGCTCAGGTGATGCTGTGAGCAGCAGACAGGTTTGCTGGGTGGGAAGAAATGGAAACAAATGTAACCTGAACCTGGCGCCCTCCCAGATGCGAACACAGAGCTTTGCACTTGGAGACTACTGGCCGAGGAATTTATCTTGTCCGATTCTCTGGCTGGCAAAAGCTTTTCCTGAGAGTAAAGCACAGAATCCACCATAATACTTCTTCCCGTGTCACCGCACAGCATCGAGCGGGCGCTGGGGGAGGCATGCAGTGTTCTCCTGAAAGTAGAACGGGATCTGGCCTGCCCCTGCGGCTGCTGAGACRGCACGTTCCAAGTCCACTCTGTTTCCCGAGAGTCTGAGCCTTTGATGTGCCTCCRTGGGGTGGCAAAACCAGCACTCATATCAAAAGACTTAATTGAGACTGTCCTCATTTTAATGGCCTCAGATAGGCCCCTGCAGTCTGGTTCACTTACCCACAGCAAGCTTCTGGGTTTCAGGACACCAGCAGCCTGTGGGGCCTTGTGGGAGTCCAATCTAAAGGCAGCTACTTACAGTATCTGTCACTAAGCCATTCTCAGTGTCACTCTGCCCTCATTCTCCTGCTCCCGGTACAGAGCGGCTGGCTTGTGAAGAAGACAGCATGGGGGTCCCCAGCCTGCTGCACCCAAAAAGCAGGGCTTCCCCTGGTCCACGTCAGAGGTGGCGCTGCCTCTGCACACACCAACCTGTCACTTGTCAGCTACTGGAGAGGGGCTGAGCTGGAGGAGAGGCCCTGATAAAAGGGACTCTCTGGTTCAGGCTCATGAAATACATATTTCAAATGCACATTATCTTGTATTTTGGGGTGGGGTGGGGTGGAGACTGGGGATTGAACCCAAAAGCATTTTACCACGGAGCCCCATCCCCAGCCATTTTTATTTATTTAGAGACAGGGTCTCACTGAGTTGCTTAGGGCCTTGCTAAATTGCTAAGGCTGGCCTTGAACTTGTGATCCTCCTGCCTCAGCCTCCCATGTTGCTGGGATTACAGGCACGAGTCACCATGCCCAGCAACTCATATTTTTAAACACCTTACAAAAAGGAAACACATGTGGAAAAAAGATGTTTCTTGAGAGAAAACCAGGAGGATACTGATTGTTTTAACTTTCAACAAGCTGCCAGGTTGGTTCTCCAGTTTGATGTCCCTGCCAGGTGTGGGTGTGARTCAAGTAAACTGCCTGGTTCCTGTTGTAGCCCAGCACCTAGGACACCTAACTAGCATTAGGCAGTGCTCTATGACAAACAGGTAAAGGCCCATTGGACAGCCAAGTGCATGGTGCATACGGGCAATTCCAGCAGGAGGATCGCAAATTCAAGGCCATCCTGGGCAACTCAAACCCTGTGTCAAAATAAAATTTACAAAGGGCTGAAGGTACATCTCAGTGGCAGGGCACTTGTCCAGCACGTGTGAAGCCCTGGGTTCAATTCCCAGAATTGTAAAAAAAACAACACAACCCCCTCCCAGACACGGTGAGTGGCCTGCCCAGCTCCTATGTGCATCTGCTGTTCAGGAGCCCACACAGCTCCCTGGGGTGGAGCGCCAGAGACTGGCGGCATAACCCCAAGTAAATCACCAAACTGCCCAGTCTCCCTTTCTTCATCTGCAAGATGAGAAACCAGAGGCTTTACCCAGAGGCATCCATCGCATCACCTGGGGAGCTTGTTCAGCTGACTTAGACCCAGCCTCACTGGGAGATGCCAATGCGGGGGGAAGGGCGATGCTGATCTGCAGCCCCCTCCCCTCTGAAGGCCAGGAGAAGGCACTGSGGTATTTTCCAGCTGAACTGTCCCCTCAGTGCAAGAGGCTGCAGACCAATCTTGGAGCACACGAGAGCACCTTGCAGGGGCCTGCACCCGTACCGGCCAGACCCTGTGAGCAGGGCATGGAGGGCTGCTCTGGCTGGAGCTCTCCTTAAGGCAGATACCACGAGAGGCTACAAACACGAGTCTTCAGGTCTCCATGAGACTCAGGAATTGCAAGAAGTAATAAAAAAGGAGCTGGCAGTTTTCCCTGGTGATGGTGTGGTGTTTCGGGCAGCCAGCTGTGGCACGGAAACAGTATTTCAGGAAGGTCTGGAGAACACAGCTGAGAAGTTGTCAGATGCTGGGTCTCAATTTAATAGTTTTCACAAATTCAACTGAAAATTGCCCCTAGACTGTTGGAATTTCACCAGTCAAGTGGCTCCGGAAGCCAGAAGCCATTGTTCATATTGAATGCACCAAGGCACGGCCCCATCTGCAGGGAGTGGGAGCTAAATAAGGCCTGGACAGAGGCTTGCAGTCCCCCAGGACCCTCAGCCTGCAGCCAGCGGGCCCATCTGTGCAAGAACAGGGAGCCCCTCCCTCGCCCTCCACTCTGCCCCTGCTTCTCTCCCGGTTCCCAGCTGGAGCTCAGCAGTAGCCAGGACAGCACCGCCCCAACCCTGCACTGTTCTCTGCGGTTGGAAATGGCCCCCCACAGGGTCTTGTTTGGTTCCCGGGGTGAGAAAACCCAGAGCCCCACTCTGCAACTAACCAGCCGCATGGTCAGGAAACAAAGACCCTAACCCCGAGCCTCAAGGTGACTTAGCTGCAACCTTCAAGGTTGCGAGGATTAAATAAGATTAAATAAACTACCTGTGCAAAACCTTTTGGAAACTATAAATAAGAGGTTTCATAGGAAAACAGCAATCATTTCCTTTCACTGGTGAGTGGAGGGCATCGCCTCTGCCCTCTCCTGTCCAGGCTCGGAGGAGCCCAGTGTCTGTGGGAGGACCTCAGAGCAGAGGCCACCCAGGGTAAACAGGGGGAGGGCAGACCCTGCCGTGGGGCTTCTGCTCTGGAGAAAAGGAGGCGTCCAAGGACCCACTGTGCTCAGCAAATGGAGGGAACCTGATGGCAGAGGAGGAGGAGAAGCAGCCAGTTCCCAGGGGCACCCGGAACAGAACCCGCCACACACAGCCCAGCCCTGCAGGCCCAGGAGGAAAGCTGGCTGACACTCAGCCAGCTGATGCTCAGGTTGGGCCTCAGTCACCGGCTCAGAGCTGATGACTACACAGCTGTGGTACAGGTCAGGTATTTCCTAGGGGACACAGGACTTGTGGCACACAGACCCTCAGCTAGACGTGACCAGGTCTCACTTGACTCGGGTGTGAGGTTGTGTCGTTCACCCAGCAGAGGGTTCTGAGGAGCTGCTCCCTGGGCAGCTGGTGTCACTGACGGTGTGGCAATCTGGGCCCACAGAGCAGGATAAGGTGTTCTGGACAATGACTCAGGGCTCAGCATGTGGCTCGATGTTAGAGCACTTTCCTAGCACGTGTGAGGCCGGGGTTCGATCCCAAGCATGGCAGGAACACAAAAAGAACCATCAGTGAAGCGCCTCAGAACCACCCAGGGAGCCACTGTGACTCTGGAGTTGAGACAATGTGGCCTCTGAGACCCTCACTCCATGCAGAGACGACCCCTCAAACTGCATACTCCCCCGAGTCTCTGGCAGACGGAGACAGGGTGGCCTGGTCACCTACCTTCCTGTAAGTACATGACGGCCTGGGAGTAGTTCTGCAAGGCATGGTGGGTCCTTCCGAGGCTACTGTAGGACACCGTCTTGGCCACCAGGTCATTCATCTGTGCAGCGATGCTCAAGTGCTGCTCTTGGTAGACCACAGCCCTCTCGAAGGTGCCCARGGACTCGTACGTCAGGCCCAGGTTCCCGTAGGCTCGGCCCTGGCACGTGGGGTTATTGGTTTCCTCGGCGATCTGCAGATCGAGCTGGTGGTACTGCAGGGCCGTGTCGTACTCGCCCATCTGCTGGTAGACGCCCCCCAGGCCACAGGCCGCGTCACTCTCCAGGGCTCGGTCCTTCATCTCCCGAGCGATGCTGAGCTGGCGCTCGAGGCAGGAAATGGCCTGCTCGTAGTTCCCCAGCTGGCTGTGCAGACTCCCCAGCTCGCCGTAGGCCTGGGCTTTGTTGGAGGCCTCCCCGAGCTCGTGGGCCACCACCAGCCTCTTTTCGAAGCACACAAGGGCTTGCTGCAGGCTCCCCATGGCCCTGTGGGGATGGAGACAGAAAAGCAATGATATTATTTCGTGCAGGTGCAGACATGCCAAAGCCCCTGAGAAAATGGAAAGCATTTGTCACTGTCACTTACTATAGAAGCTCTTAACTCCTCTTCTAGCTAAAATCTATCATGTGCCCTTAGAGTGAGATGCAGAGGAATTTCATAATCTGGAAAGCAATTCAAAAGTCATCCCTTAGTGACCTTCCCAAGAGCTCGAGATTCAATGGGATATACACCCCAGAGGGAACATAAAACATATTAATAGGCACAATGATAGCAAGTGAACTGTTGGGTTCTTCGGGCTTCCCAATTTCCACTACTGCTTAGACTATGTTTTTGAAATCACTTTACAGAGGCTATAAATCTGTCACCTGGGCTTCTCAGAGCACTCTGTGGGTGATGATTTAGTTTGACCCTTCCCCTTCCTCCCATCCCGGGGCCCTAATCCCCTGCTTATGTGGTGAGGCCATAGATTCTGCAGACACAGGCACCCCACATTTGGAAGAAAAGCACCCTTGGCCAACTGTGTGTCTTTGTGTGCTGCTTGGAGATGACACGATCAGAATGGGAAGAGCACGGGACCTGGCAGAAAATCAAACCAGTTGTGTGGGGCCTAAGGATTCCTTTTCCTGAGTCTCAGTTTCTGGGGGGGGGACACATCCTCAGGCCTGGCAGGTGATAGTGCACAGAAACCAGGACTGCTCTGTCAAGAGAGCTCTGAGAGGGGCCCAGCCTGGTGAGGGCGTGGGGGAGGGGTCTGTCCACTCCTGCAAATATCGGGGGGCTTTTAGGAAAAGGAGTTGGTGGGTAGGGATAAACACATTCATAAAATGTGGGAGGTATTTAGAAAAGCCCTGTCAAATTGATTCATTCCCATTCCCATCCCTATTCACTCTTTTATCTTGATCTTTTTGATATCACTTCTGGAGTCAGAGCCCTGGGTGTGACTCTTAGTCATCCCTTTTAAGCTGTGTAATCTTAAGCATTAACCTAACCTCTCTGGGCTTTGGTTTCTTCTTCCGTAACACAAAGGTAATAATATCACCTGCTTAACACAAAAAGTGTGGGAGAAAGCAAAGGAGGTTCGTGTGGAAATGCTTTGTAGCTAATAAGCTGGCACGCAGAGGTGCCCTCACCCTCACCGCTGCCCCTGTTGTAGGCTTATCTATCTGATCTGTCCTCTGTCATTTTTACCTGTGTCCGTTTCCTAGCCCCCGGTAAGCCTTGGCTTGGTCTTGCATTCGATTCAGACTCTGGGCCACAGATAAATACTGCTCGTAGTACTTGATGGCTTCCTCGTAGTCACCCAGGGCCTCGTAGCAATCCCCCAGGTTGCCATAGGCGCGGCCCCTGTCGAGCACAGACTCGTTGCCGCTGAGCTGCTGCAGCATGGCCAACTGCTGCTCAAAGTAGCCGATGGCTTCCTCCATCACGTTCATGTTCATCTTCGTGATGCCCATGTTGCCATAGACCTGGGCCTCTAGGCTTGGGTCCTTCAGCTTCTGCCCCAGATCCAGCTGCTCCTCGTAACACTTGAAGGCCATCGTGTACTTGCCAAGGGCCATGTAGACAGCAGCCAGGTGCCCGTGGGCTCTGCACTCCCCTGGCAGGTCGCTGAGCTCCTGGTACACCTCGAGCTCCTGTGTGTGATAGCCCAGGGCCTTGTCATACTTCTGGATCATCCGGTACGCAGTGCCCAGGGCTGCGTATGCACTGGCCTCCAGCCTTCGGTCCTTTACGTGATGGGCTAAGCCCAGCTGCTGCTCGTAGAATTTTATTGCACCATTTATATCTTTTTTACAGATGAATATATCGCCCAGGTTCCCTAGGGCCCGGAATTTAGCCTGGGAATTRTTCAGGGACTGGGCTAAGGACAGCAGGTACTTCTGACACTCTTCAGCTTTGCTGAAATTCAGCAGTGCCTTGAATGCGAGGCCCAGGTTGCAGTAGGCTTTCGCCTGGCTCAACTTGTCATGAAGGTCTTTGGCCAATGCCAGGTCCTGCTCATAGTACTTCACCGCCTCCTGGTAATTGCCAAGGCAGTAATGGGCATAGCCAAGATTGTGGCAGACCTTCCCTTCTCCCTCCATGTCCTGGAGGTCAGGAGCGAGCCGCAGGTACTGTTCGTAATAGGGGGCAGCCTGGACATACTCTCCCCGGGAGCAGTGGAAGTTCCCCAGGTTGCTGAGGGCCCGGGCCTCGCTCTGGATGTCCCTCAGCTCCCTGGCGATGTTCAGGTGGTTCTGATAGTGCTGCAGAGCCCGGTCGTGGGCGCCCAGGGCCTGGTAGGCCACAGCGAGGTTCCCGTGCGTGGACGCCTGGGAGGCGCGGTCGTTCACTTCCATGGAGATCTGCAGCTCCTGCCGGTGGTACTTGACCGCCTGGTCGTACAGGCCCAGGGCGTTGTAGGCGTTGCCCATGTTTCCGTAGGCGCGGCCCTGGGCAGCGTAATCGCTCAGCTCCTGGGCGATGCACAGGTGCGTCTTGTGCAGCTTCAGCGCAGTGTCGTAGTCGCCTTTCATCTGGTGGATGATTCCTGGGGAAGGAAGAGAGAAGGCCAGGAAGATGGGCATAACTGAAGGGTAATTTMGGGAAAAAAATGTAATTTGCAACTCAATTTATAGTAAATACTATCCAGATGAATTAAAGAATTTCAAATAACAGAAGGTAGAATTAAATATTTATCAACTCTCCAGAGAGAGGAGAGCTTTCTAAGCTTCAAAGCAACAGGAAAAAACATTGACAGATTTGATTACAATTTTTGTACTGCAAATAAATATCTAAAATTAAAAGGCAACAAATACTGGGATATATGTGAAACACATATGAAAAAATTTAATATCTATTGTGAGTAAAGATATCATTCAGGTTTAGAAAAAAAATCAAGACCCTGATTTATTTTTTAGAAAAATATTTCTAGTTGTAGATGGACACAATACCATTTATTTATTTATTTATATTTTCTAATGTGGTGCTGAGGCTCAAACCCAGTGCCTCGCATGTGCCAGGCGAGTGCTCTACAACTGAGCTGCAACCCCAGCCCCCCAATTTATTAAAAGAGGCAAAGAACTAGAAATGTTAGCAGACAACTCACATCCAAAGAAATACAAAGAGTAACCACAGGGGGAAATGCTAATTTCCTTTAATAATCAAAGAAATGCAAAATAAACCAACCCTGAAGTACCATTTTACTCCTTCTAAATTAGCAAATAAAAAATTTAAACACCCCCTATACTGATTAGGTTGCCCTGAAATTGATAAACATAACAACTGCTGGGGACATAAACAAGAACAACCTTTGGATCAGCAGTGTGCCAAATGAAGACAGTCCCACTGCGTGTGCATGTGTGTGCGTGCGTGAGAGAGAGAGAGAGAGAGAGAGAGAGAGAGAGAGAGAGAGAGAGACTGGGGATTGAGCCCAGGGAGTCTGTCATTGAGCCATATACCCAGCCCTCTGCCTCCAGCTTTTTTTGAGACAGGGTCTCTCTAAGTTGCCAGGCTGGCCTTGAACTTGAGATCCTCCTGCCTCAGCCTCCAGAGTCTCTGGGACTGAGGGTATGAGTTACCACACTCGGCATCTGGTCCTACTCTGACCCCACCATCCTGCTCAAGGGAGCATAAGCTAAGGAAATCAGTCAACGGCCACACAAACTAAGTGCCTCTAGTCTTTGCTGCAGCATTATAGAGAAGTGGAAAATCAGAAACATCTTAAATGCCAAACACTGGGGGACTGTGCGAGTGCATTTTGGCATATCAACTCAACAGAAGATGACACCGTTATTAAAAAGGTCATTATGAAGTCTGTGCATTAAAATGGGAAATGAGCTCACAATCGGGTTAACTGGAAAAGCAGGAAGCAACGCTGCAAGCTGCAGGTGACAAGTAGGAGAACAAAATTTGTGTGCGTGGACAAGACCTGGAGGGGACTCCACAAGATGAAAGTAGCTGCCTTGCTAAGTGAGGGGATTTGAGTGATTTTTGTTCCAAAATTTCTTGTAACTCTGCTCTATGCTTTGACAATCAACAATCACAGCGCTTCAAACAACCCCCATAAACTGCACTCCAGTTCCTAAGCCAAGCCACTGTTTTATCCGCAGTTCAAAATGAGATGCATCATGAATATAAATTAGTTCCAACTGAGGGGTGTCATCAGGGTAGCCAAGGTGGCCCATCCCAGCTGGGGCGGGAGGGGCATTGGAAGAGGTGCAGAACCTTGTGTGTGCTTCCTCCTGGCTCTTGGTTTTGCACATACCTTTCTGTGCACCAGTAGCAAGCTCTGCAGTGGTGACCAACACCTGCAGAGGCACAGGAATCTTAGCGTCACCAAGATGAGCTCTTGTGCAAATGTCTGATTTGAAAATGGGAGCTGTCGAATCCCTGCCTTTGCAACTTACCTAACTTTATGTCACCCTTTGTTCACTGACTTGTTCACCCAGCAAATGTGAACTAGACTTGTGATGGCCACAGGGGTAGAGAGAGAGATGAAGCCACTCTGCCCTCTGTACAGAACCATAGGGTGGCGGTCAGGTGCGAATCACGCCAGGACACATAATCAATGCTGAAGTCGGGGCGCGGGGGTGGGGGTGAGCCTGCCAGGGCCACTCGATGGCCCTTCCTCCCCACCTGCCGTGGAGGTCTGCCCTGCCAAAGAGTCCTGCCTGCTCCTGGGCCTGCCGCCTCTTTGACATTAACTGGACTTAGGGAACTGGGTAAATCACTTAGCCCCACTCCACTGTATTCAGTTCTATAAAATGAAAATTAAGAATAGTGATAGTGACACTAGAGGGTGGTGATAAGGATCAAATGACATAAAATATTTGCAAGTGCACTGTGAACTGTAAGTGAAATTCAAGTATCAGTACTGCAATCACTATATACTTCCAGGAAAGGGAATTCTTGAGGTGGCATAGGTAAAATACCGTAATTCTTCTGTGTGATTTTTATGAGTCAAATATTCCATAATCTTAAAATAACTAAATCACAGTACATCTATATTAATGGGATGATAACATTAAAATGGTAATGTAGTTATATTAAGGAAATATATATGCTACAAAGCCACATTTTGATAAAGACTAACAGGGCACATGTATGCAAACGTATTTACTTTTTGTGTGTGGTGGTAGGATTGAAGGTTGTTGTTTTTTCTTTTGACTTATCTGTATTTAATTTTTTTTTTAGTTGTAGATGGACACAATATCTTTATTTTATTTATTTTTATGCGGTCCTGGGATTGAACCTAGGGCCTCACATATGCTAGGCAAGCGCTCTACCACTGAGCCACAGCCCCGGCCCTATAAATACATACATATTTTTAAAATAAGGAACATATAACCCTTAAAGTAATTTTGAACTCTGGTCCAATGGGAGAAGTAATGTTTCTGGGACTGATCCGGGAGTCCTCCCTGGGGTCACTGTCCCAGGCTGGTGGCATCAGGGGCGTCCCACCTGGAAGGCTGGCAGTGTTTCCGAGTCTGTCTCAAGGTCAGGAACTCTAAGGGGCCCGAGAGGAACTAATGCCTCGGCAACACCTGGGATCTCAAGCTGTGAGCCGAGGGCAGCTGGGCAGGTGGCAGGGTGCCTGGATCTCCCACAAGGATGGCTTGCAGTGTTGTGGGCACCATAGCACTGGATTATTTCAATGACCTCCCCCTTCTCTGCAGCACTAGGGACTGAACCCAGGGTAACTCTGCCACTGAGCCACATCCCTACGTCCCCAATCCTTGTCTTTAAAAATTTTTTTTGGAGGGGGCCTGCCTTGACCTTGTGATCCTCCTGCTTCAGCCTCCCGAGTTGCTGGGATTACAGGGGGGCAATGCTCAACCTTGCCTGGCTGCAATGAGTTTTAAGCCAGTATTATTACGTTTGGTTGCTACAATGACAGAGGAAGCAAGCAACAGAGGTCTTCAGAGAAGGCCACTAGAGGCAGGCTGGTCTTCATGTATGTCCCCCCACCAAAGACAAGGCCTCCTGGCTAGCCCCCCACCCTCCTCCAGGATTGATTGTTCAGAAAGCTGAGTCTCAGGAAGGCACATGATGACAGAAAAGGCACCGGGCTGCAGAATAAACCAGAAGTCCTGCTTTACAGGCCTGGCTCCTGCCACATTCAGCTGAGTGTCTTTGAGACAGTCAGTGTCTCTGAACTTTGCTTTCCTATTATTTTAATTGAAAGTTGGTTTTATTTTGGCATTTTTTGCTTTCTTACAAACAATGTCAGGTTATAATCATCTCAAAGAAGGAGTATGAGAAGCACATACACAGCTGGGCATGGAGGCACATGCCTGTAATCTCAGCTACTCAGGAGGCTGAGGTAGGAGGATCACAGGTTTGAGGCCAACCTTACAATTAAATGAGACCTGTCTCAAAATAAAACAAAAAAACAACAAATGGGATGTAGCTCAGTGGTGGAGAGCCCAATTTTGCAAAAATAAAAATAAAAAACAAAACCACCAATGTGCGTTTTTGAACATATAACATGGCATGAGCAGTACTTAGAGAGAGAAAGGGAAGGGACTCTTCTTCCCTCACTCTGGCCGGAAGAGTCTGGGCTAGTTAATAGGGAGCAGTTGGTAGATAATGGCTACCCAGGGTTCGATGATTTGCGAAGGGAACTGCCTGCTGGTGACAGCAAAGTGATCTGACCTGCAGCCAGCCCTCCAAGCCTCCTCCCCCAGCCTCTGTTCTTCCTTCCCAGGGCCTCTGAAGTGTCCAGAGGAAGGGTCTCAAAACAAAGCCTTCCGCAGCAGACAAGGGCGAGGGGTGGGCCTGGCGGGGCGGGGCACTTTTTCTTCTGCCCCTCTCTCTGCTGTCCCCGCCGCCAGTCTGGGGGATTCTGAAGGGAACACYGTGCTTGCTCTCTTTGTTGAGCGACATAAAAGCGGCCCTGAGAGCTGCCAGCAGAGCGACTGCACATGCTGAGGGGATAATCTGCAGATCCTCCTTCCCTTTCCAGACCACAGCTTGATTTTCCAGGGCCGTCACTCAGATGAAGACTTACAGAGGGCCTGTCAGCAGGGGCGCGCGAGGTGACAACGTGCTGCAGGGAGGGAATTAAATGAAGATTAGTGGGGCAGAAGACCCTCACAAAGCCCTGCTCTCACCAGGGCGTGCGGGGGAAGGACACGTGGTCGCGAATCCAACCCAGAGCGGGCCTCCTGCTCGGTCACTGCCTACTTCAGAGGCCGTGGTGGTGAGGCTGGGGGGCCTGGGACACAGTGAGCGCTCCCGACGTTTTGATTTTATCATTAACCATTGAGCGCAAAGAGCGCAGGAGCTGCGAACGGGGCAAGCCCACAATTTCAACTAGGACTCGAACGCGGGGTATCTGAGCGGTGGACCCTGCCGCCTTTCTCCGTCGGGCCTCCGTGCCCCTCGGCGACAGTGGGTGCGCTCTTCCGCTCACTGAGGGCACCCCCGTTGTGATCACCCCTGTGCGCGACCCGGAGGGGCTTCCAGCCCTGACGTACCCTCTCCCGCTTTCAAGGGAACTGAGATCTGCCTTATCCAGCGACCCCCGAAGAAAACACAGGACCTGGG